TCTACATTTTTTTGCTTTGTTTTGTTTTTTGTTTTTTTGAATGTCCAGAGGACCAGATTGGACTTTTTTGTATGTAATTTCTTAAGATTAATGAATTTATTATCAAACTTTAATTAAAAAATATTATTTTAGTTTTCTTTTTCAGTCTCTGAAATGTGTTCCTGTGATTTCCCATCTAATAATCTGTTTCAACTTTTGTGATCACTTTAATTTCACACATCAGTCTTCATAATAATCATCTTGATCTCTGTGCGGTTTAAATATTAAATCCATCTTTTCTTGCAGCTGTGGTTGGCCCAACTCGTCCTTCTGAGAACTGTTTTCTGTCTAGTTTCTCCAGCCTGACTCAGTTCTGGGTTCCCTCTGCAGGCTGTGGACGCAGTGGGAGAGATCCTGTTGTCCCTCAGTTACCTGCCGACAGCGGAGCGCCTCACCGTGGTCGTGGCCAAGTGCAAGAATCTGGTGTGGACCAACGACAAGAACACAGCAGGTCGGGATGCTCAGACAGTGTGTGTTCATAATTTTTGTAAACGTTACAACATGAAGCGTCTTCTGAGGACCATGTGTAGTAACGACAAGCTTGACTGAATCGTAAAGCACCTTGAACAACTTCTGTTGTTTTTATGCTAAATGATTATTAAGGGTCTACAATTCATTGAAGGAATGCTTATCTTACAATTCAATTCAGTTTATTTATCCAGCACCAAGTCCCAACAGAAGTCACCTCAGGACACTGAACAAAAACAGTCATACATATAAAAATAATAATTGAACATTATTTATCTGAGGAGCAGCTTTGAGTTTAACTCCATCACAGATCTTGAGCAAGCATGAAGGCGACAGTGGAAAGGAAAAACTCCGTCATGAGGAAGAAACCTTTAGCAGAACCAGGATCAGGACAAGCGGCATCTGCTTCGACCGGCTGGTTTGGTAGGAATAGATACACAATGGCAGGTCGAGAATCACGTTACACACCAGAGTTTTAGACTGAGATCATTTTAAAAAGAGAACTGACAGTTCTAGCTGTTCTGGGTCAACCCTGTGCACAATGTTTTGCACAGTCTCATGCAGTCTTGTGAAACGTGCAAGCCCTCCGAGTCTCACCTTTAGCTACTAGTGTTGTAGTACTCGAGACCGATCTTGGTCTTGAGACCGGTCTCAAGAGCACTTTTTGATGGTCTTGGTCTTGTCTCAGTCTCGGACATTGAGGACTCTGGATTTTATTTCAAGGCCACGACTGTGGAAACATCACTAAACTGCCAGAATATTGTCCAGTTTATTTGTTAGCATCTTTGTTTTGATTGGATTCGAAACGTACTGGTTCAAATCCAGCGATAACGTGACTCATTGCTAAATACGTTTTGTTTTTCTCATCATTATCAACTTGTGGCCTTCAGGGGCAAACAGTAAATATGAGCTGTCACATTGATCTTCACCCAGAAAGCAGTCACACTAACATCCTGCTCACCTGCTGGTGTCTCCACAGAACTGACTGGGCTCGGGCTTTTCTTTAAATCAGGAGCTAATTAGCTGCTCTGCACACTAATGTATATGTGTATGTGTGTGTGTGCGTGTGCGTGCGTGTGTGTGTGATCGTCAGATCCATTTGTCAAAGTGTACCTCCTACAAGATGGCAGAAAGATCAGCAAGAAGAAGACTTCCACAAAAAGGGACGACACGAACCCGATCTTTAACGAAGCCATGATCTTCTCCGTGCCGTCCTCCGTCCTGCAGGTGAGCCATCGGACAACGCATCAAACTTCGGCCAAAGGACCAACTGACACAAGACCTTCTAAGATTTAAGTTGAAGATGGAAGCTAGGGAACAAAAATTCAAAGGTCAAATATTCTTCTTATCACCTGCCACTTTTCATGACAGTTATAATTCAAGATGGCCGC